ATAGATATTAATATATATGAAAAAAGTTGATAAATGTATAAATACACATACATACACACGCACACGTGAGTAATTAGACCAGGCTATCAAAAGCAGCCAAAACGTCGAAACAATATTTGCCTACTAACTTCATTATTGACTTATCTTAAATATGACATTACACGATATAAAACAGACCCCTTGCGCTAATATTAACCCCAATGACCCTTGTACAAGCAGTGATTGTAAAAACAACGACATATTCGATTCTAGATGCGTTGGAAATGACTATCGACCTGACAAAACATATTACAATAAAGACTTTACTAAGAATTTATACACATCTCTGTACGGTATGAGCGTTAGTGAACTTAGCCTGTGGTCTATAGACGGTTCGTATTTCAAGGATAAAAGGAACCGCGAAGCAGGACACCGCGGACACGAAGGCTACAGCGCCACAGAGCCACAGCGCCACAGCGCCACAGCGCCACAGAGAAACGGAAGATCGCGCTTTAGTCTCTCACATAGTGGTTAGCTGCGCATGCGCGGCTACCCACAAAAAGGGAATCAATATTAAAGAAACACTGAAATTATATGCTGTCTTGTTTAGTTGTTTCATATATACGCAAAGGCCGTCGGGTTTTAAAGCAATTATAAAATCAATATTTAAAACAAACTTACCTTCGTCAACGTTGCCTCCCTTCTTTTAGCCGATTCTTTTGCCCTTTCTTTCTGAGAAAGCCTTTGAAATTTACAAAATCTTGCAATATTTGCTACTTCGCTGTCGTCATGCAGTCGTTATGATGCAAACTTTAAATTGGATCAATCAGTGTCCGCTATTCATGACAGTCCGCCATATTTTTGAGATCAGTGAGGATGACCACACACCCAACACTGCAACACCGTTGGTGACCCACGCCCGCGATGATTGACGAACTTTAGACTTCGCTAATGCTTTCGTTTCCCCGGGTGTAAATAGCCAGGGGGAATTAGTACCTTATCTTATCTTATCTTTTATCAAAGACAGGTCGAAATTTATCTGACGTATATTCTTGCTCTTCATCTTGAACGGTCGTTTTAAAATCATCATCATGCAGTTTTTAATACAAGGAGCCTATCCTACAGCGCACTCTATAACTTAAATCAGACGCCCTGCTTAAATATTCAGTGAACCTCAGAAGTGATGAAGATGTGTCAACATTATAAAAAGAACATTCCCTCAGTTTGTATTATCAACCGCATCCTAATTCTGCTTATGTTGAAAACACAGACTTCGGGCTTGGTCTTCATATCATGCTCATTTAATAATTGTTGACTGCAGCGCAGTTTGCTTTTTTGCTAGGATGAATTAGAAACATGAAAACAATAAGTACCGTGATATTAATAAATTCTTTCTTTTTGCAGATAAACGGGCGATGTACATCACAATAACTGTCTTTCCATATGCCAATGGCATTTTTACTGTCACGAATCACAGCACATCTTTCTTCCTTGCCAGTGTAGCTCAGTTCTCCATATAATCCCCGTCTATTACTAGCATTAAATTGTCTACCATTAAGCCAGTACCAGCCTTGTAACGGATCTTGAGGAGGGTTGGCCTTAATTTCAGCGCCATTCATCCAGTATCGCCTCCCATCATTCAAAGAAGAAAGTGTCTTCTTAATAACATCAACATCAGTTGAATTTGCAAGACGACTGTCGTGTTGCAAGCAAAACGTATGAGCAGCCTGCCACGTTACTTGGACTTTACCAAATACTCGCCAGCAAAAACCGTTGTGTGCAAGTTTCCAGTCATTGGGACATGTCAAATTGGCTGAAAATTTTAGCATACTGATTATACACACACTATACATAAACGAACGAGTTATAATACATATATGTGTAAATCAAATTATTAGTAATATACACCATGCACTTTATGTATATATATATACGACAAACACGACAATCCTCAAGACTCCATAAGAGGGAAGAGCCTAAGAACGAAGTTGCACAATTCTCTGTTATAATAGGGGGACTATTTAGGGAAACTAGGATTTTACCAAAACGTAAAAATATAAGAAACGCGCAAAATTAATGCTCTCATATATTGAATTTATTTTTCGCTGTTAATAATTTGGCGAGGGGGGATTAAATAGGGAGATGGGTAACGTTAGAAATGTTGCGCTTAGGGACTGGTCATAATTTAGCAGAAGGGGTGGGGAGGTGGAAACAGTGGGGGGAGGGGGGTCACATTTTTTAGCCAGCAAAAAGGGGGTTCATAAAATATTAGACAGTTTATGAAGGCGGGGAGGGAGTCTGCTGTTTTAGTTCAATCAATTGTTTTATACATGCCTTCTCACATTTTGTTCTTCTCATATAAGAGAGGGAGGGGGGGAGTTTATTATTTTTCCGGGTTATGAAAAAGCAGGGTCACAAGATATCATTCATTAAAATTTGGAATTACACCTCCCCACCCACCCCTGATAAACTATGACCAGTTTCTTACTCGACGACTTAACAAACCATAAACATAAAATTATATATTTGGTCATGCAGACACGTATTCATTGCTGTCACATCCATAAGTCTTGACGAAGGGCCTTCGCTCGAAACGTCCATTTTCTGTTTGTTTATTTCAGGTAGTAATACAGCCACTCGGCAAAACATATTCACATTGATATAGCCTTTACCTTTTTTCTTACAAGTACAATTAAACGTTGTATTCTGGTCTTGTTTCGTGGCAATAACACAGTACCCGTTCTTATCCCATTGATAAAACGAAGAATTCCATGTAAAATTTGTATAATTATTGAAGCGTTTAAGACCAATGAAACACCGCTTAGCCTAAAAGAATGGCAACAACGCATCAGTTACTATTTCCTTCTCCAGCGTTATAAAAAATAAGTAATGCCGATGTTTGTGATGTTGCTCTGAATGTATATCCACACCGGACAGGCTGGAAAGTTTGCCTGACCACGGTGGAAATCTAACCCGTGACCTTTGGGATACTATCCAATGTTCTACCAACTGCGCTACGAGAGCAAATCGTTCGAGTGTGTGGTATTTCGGAACTAAGTCTAGTACCGATGTGTTCTTATGATCATAAGAACACATCGGTATCGAAGGTACTATACTTAGGTCTATGTTCATTAAAGTGGTATAAAACACAAAAGTGCTGTATGTTTCATTCCTAGCCTGATAACAGACCTACGTTTCGCCCGCCCTAAAATTAGCGGGTCGACGGAAAGGGCGAAACGTAGGTCTGATGAAAATACATGTAAGTCGACCGCCTGGCGGTCGACAAAGTTGATTGGCTAATTTACAGGGAAATGGGTTGTGATTGGTTGGTCGCTAACATGAAGGTCTGATGAGACCACCCTATCAAAATAAAAGTTTTATCTATCTATAATATGGCATATAGATTACAGTACAAAATATTTAGAATATTACACCGTATTACAGTGTAATATTCTAAATATTTTGTGATGTCGAACGACAACTATAGTCTATCAGTATTTGCGTCTAAAATTAAAGCTAGAGGGGAGTGGATCAGTACGTGTCAAATACTTCAGCGTTGTGGCTTTCCGTTGTAATATACGATACAGTAATTTTTACACGATCTAAGTTTTGTGATTAATCATAATAAAACTGATACAAATATGTGCGCATTCATGATTTATATTTTGATAACATAGCACGTTCGCGTACAAAATATTTTATTTTGACTTTAGCATTGTATGGCGATTTTAAAATGTATAAATTGTAAGAGTTGGGATGCAATTCAACAATGGGACATGGCCATTGCCAAATTTGCGTAGGCAGATTGTGTTGAAAATATTGTATTATCACTAGCTGTAACTGTTTGCTTACAAAGGTTTAGACTACATACTGCACGGGGTTATCAATATTTTAAATATTTATTCATATATCCGTACTTATATCGACCCTACTTTGTTTACAAACTTTCAATAAAGTGAAATCGACAACTTATTGTATTTTTAGGCGTTACATCTAATGTGTCAATCATCATCACAAAATGCAAAGTGGGCGGAAGGCGCTTCTGACAACATTTTCATCAGACCTACGTTTCGCCCTTTCCGTCGACCCGCAAATTTTAGGACGGGCGAAACGTAGGTCTGTTATCAGGCTATATGTTTCGATTGCATTGATGTTCGGTAGAGTATAACTAACAATTTTCAAATACGTGTTTGGTTCTATAATTTACCTCAAAAATTATATACTAGAAATACAGAGCAACTATAATAATTATTGCACATTTGACCCAATGGCGCATGGCCTCGTTTCTATGATTGGCTGCTTTAGCACTGCAGGCGCACATGAAAGTTATAGCAATAAACCTAATCTTAACCCCACTGTGCATGAAACATAAGGAAATAACCACATGATAAAAGAGGTCATTGTGACGAGCACCCAACGTCCATGCCAACATAGAGGATGAAATTAGTACCGTCGCCATGCGTGCACGAACTTTTGCCCGACGCGCTTCGCCTGTGACTCGGGGATAAATTCCCTGTATCATTGGTATCAAGGTTCATATTCGTATGTATATATAGAGCTCAGGCTACAAGTCATGACATTTATGCATTTAGTTCTTACATATCCCAAGCTCAACTTTTTAATCTTTACCAAGTTAGTTTCGTAACCTGCATTACACCAGTTTTCTGTGGATTCGTTTGTACTGTAGTTGTGACATTCTTTGAAATGCTGCCATGGATCAGAGCAATTTGTTTCAGCTAAAGTGAGACAAAAAGGGTCAGTATACTTGCCTATATGAATAGGATTTAGGATTGGTTGATTATGACAATAGATGACAATAAACAAACAATAAACAATAGAAGTCATATTTCTAAAAAATGAATCATAAATGCATAACTTTTGTTTCAGAAAACCAATCACAAAATGCATGTAAATTTTGCAGGGAAAGTATTTTGACATTCGCCAATAGTGCTATTATTTATTACGGTCAGCGTTATCTGCCATTATCATAGCCATTATATACAATAGGCGACCTTTCAAGCAATCCCGCGAGACTTTAACACAAAAGCCGATGGAGACACGGTAATAAGATTCTAATGAGATTTTTTTGTGCAAATGCCGTCCATGTGCACTGAACTGTATCATGTTTAAAGCCACCTGTCACTCTTATAATAGTTAGATAACGCAACGTTCAATTTAACACACACACAACCCCTGTCAAAAATACGAGAGCGAGCAGTTCAGATGCACAATACTAGAAATACATACATGCAGCAACCCCTCGCCTTTCTTAACAGATGGAGTATAGCAATTCCACATGAAGTATTCATGTTTAAATAATAGTAGTCGCTATGGTAACGTGAACATAATATGAGAAAATAATTGATTTTCATAATCTGGAATGTTGTTTTATGTTATGTGGCTTTCTAGTAAAACTGCAGGGGAAAGAGAAAAACTCGCTTTGCCGACTAGTTTACTCGAACATATAGTAAAATATGTTTGCTTCACAGGCAGGGCGAAATTTGTACCCTCCCCCCGGGCTTACGCGCGGAACGGCGCTCGGGGATAATGGACTTACAGTACCTGATTTGACACAAATAGCACAATTCTTCTGATTACAATCTGGCTCACCATAACTGCCATTTAAATGTCCAACATAATGACATTTTTTAGGCTTTATCTCCGTTACATTTGTCGGGTCTTTAACCATACGAGTTTCGCATGCGTCTTTCTTATGAATTGGCAACCAGTACGACTTATTTTCTGTGTTCATCAAAAATGTATTGTTTCTAAGAGGAAACTGTAGCAGACGACAGCTTGATTTTGCGTCTTTCCAAGACATTTGTCCTTGACCTGTAAAATTAAAATAAAGCAACAATTGTTTTTTTTCTGTGTTGGTATAAAAAAAATCATGATTACAAGATTCCATTGATATCGGAGGAACTAGACTCAGTTCCGAAATATCACTTACTCGAACCGACCTGTCCGCGTAGCTCAGTTGGCAGAGCATTGGGCTAGTATTACAAAGGTCGTAGATTCAATTCCCACCGTGGCTGGGCACATTTTTCGACTTCTCCGGTGTGGATATACACTCAGAGTAAAATACAAAACACGTGAAACTCCAAAAAATCGATAACATTTCTATGTTATCGATTTTTGGAGTTTCACTTGTTTTGTATTTTATTAAAATACTCAGTGGTTCTAAAAAATTTTTGGATTACTCAAAGTAACATCACAAACAAGTGAACAACATGCAATTGTTATATTTAATATTATATGCCTTTCATGAATAGGATATACAGAGTGCATAAAATAATTAACTGGGCTCTTCAGCTTAAGGTTACTTCACACGATGAACGTGCGTTTTAGTCTTTTGGACATTGCTCAACCAATTTTAGGTGTAACTTTACCAAATTTTCAGTGAAGAAAGCCAGGAAAATGCTGATTTCGAAAATTTTCTTTTGATGGGTGTTCTGTTTAAACATTTTCAGTATTGGCTGACTGAGTAAATATGTAGGTACCTTCATAAAAAATAAAAATATGTTTATAGTTTACCTCAACGGTTGTCTAGATATCGCAATTCAAATCTTCATAGGCATGGTAAAAAAGACGTGTGCAGAAAATTTCCCTTCTTTAGTGGTTTTTCTGATATGCCCTGATTCTTGGATTTGTCACTGATAATTCACGAAGTTCTCAAAGAAAACGTCATATCAGAAAAACCATTGAAGAAGAGAAATTTGCCGCACACGTTTTTTTTTACCGTGCCTATGAAGATTCAAGTCGATATATGTAGACAAACGTTGAGGAAATTAAACTATAAATATATTTTGATTTTTTTTATGGGATACTTATATATTTCTTTAGTCAGCCAATACTGGGCATGTTTAAACAGAACACCCATCAAATGAGGATTTTCGAAATCAGCATTTTATTGGCTTTCTTCACAAAATATTTGGTAAAGATACACTTAAAATTCGTTGCGCCATGTTCAATAGACTAAAACGCACGTTCATCGTGTGAAGTAACCTTAACCAGTTTCGGCTCACTATGCAGTAAAAAGACATTGCATGTTAAAACAACGAACCAATAGGTACTATCTACTCAGTTTTTACAGTAAATCTCTAATAAAATGACGTTGGTTATTTGTGGTTTAGTCCATTAATAATTGGATTGTGATATGCAGAATTTTGCGCCTGATTTTTTTATTCTCAAAACCAGTGGCGTAACGTTATAGGCCTATCAGGGGGCCACCGGTTCAAAATTTTCGAAGGCCCCCCTAGTAGAAGTGCCAAAGGCACGAGTTGAGCACCCGTATATATGAACGAGTTTTCTAGGGGTTCGGGCATGCTCAACCGGAAAAGTTTTCAATCTAGACTCTCTGAAATGCCATTTTCCGGACTTTGGGGAGAGATTTTACAGAATTCTGATGGTCAGAAAATGACATTGTAACATATCAGAGGCACTGACCAATGTTTTTGCCCTACAGCCTGAGCCTGGGGCCTCCCATTTGGCCCATTGGGGTTGGGGGTCCCCGGATTCGCCCGGTCCGAGCCCATAGTACTTACGCCACTGCCCAAAACAAAGATAAAAATTTTCCGTCCACCGCGTCTGCACTATCATAGAACAGAAACTATAAGTTCATGCAAAGTATATTTGTCATGATTCGTCACCCATTTCCAAAGTCTTGGTTATTTTTCACTTTGTTCATAAAATACAGTAGCTAAGAAAATTTTTTCATTACATCCATATTTTATAACATTCTATACTTTAGTGTTACGTTAAAAAATTGAAACAATTTTACAACTACGGTTTCCAAACTTACCAACCCAATCTGAACTGTTACAAAAGCAAGAAAAATTTTGTGAACAGTTTGAAGTTAGATAAATTGTCCCATTTCTCACAAAACTACAACCATTGCAACCAACATCAGTAATTATTATTTCCCATTTATTCCATTCTTTGAATAAGCTACCATTCAGCCATGTCCATTTAGCACGTGCATCAATAGTACTTTCGTAGAGCTTCCCTGTCCAAACCAATGGCGTTTCCAAATTATGAGAGGTATTAAAAAGTGTATCTTTGCAATTGGAAAAATTGCCTGCATAAATTTTGGTACTTAATCTTTTGCAGTGAGCGAATGCACCAAAGTAGGTCATTCTGTCGTATACTGGTCGGCAACATCGGCTGTTATTTCTTTTCGAACGATATTTACAATTAGCTAATAACGAAATGACACATATAATTACACTCTAAAGACATCCTGGTTAAGATTTTCCTGGTTAATTAACCTAGAAATAACAGTAGGCCTATAGTTTGGGGTTAACTTGATATTCTTGGTCAAATATCCTGGTTTAGTATTTTATCTTACTTCCTACTATAGCAGGTTATTATTTGGTTATATCTGGTGATATTTGACCAACATAATGACATGGACAATGACATTGGCTAGTTGACGAAGATACATACAGCACGCATGCATGCGAGGACCAACAACCTGCATGCATGTAGCTACATTGCATATTTTTGCATAAACCTAGAAAAGTACAGGGCCTTTTTAAAAAAGCCTTATCTTTAACGAGTGGAAAAGTCAAAAGTGGGAGATAACTGAAAAGGGAACTAACAAGGAATAGTAGAAATTGGAAAGTGCATGCACGCAAACCTGTAGAGGTCCACCCCCGAATCTTTTCATATTATAAGATTCTGGGGCTTAAATTCCTGCATGCATTTTGCGGACACAACTTTTTATTACTTATTTCATACAGACATGCAGAGATTTGGACACAGTTTTTAAAACACTTTTCTTGACGAAGTTATCCTTGCACGAATTCTTCCCTGTTTGCTTATATTTTAGACAAAAGGGGCTTTCAAGCTAATTTTATACATATTTAAGGAATCAAATCTAATTTTAAATATTTTGAATCTATAATCATGTAACTTGAGTTTTTCAGTTAACCTTTATGCAAACAGCAACTAAAGTGTTCAGCAAATTCTATTCTGAAAAACGTCCTGCACAGATGATAAGCTACATTGTTTTTTACTACAAGTTTTCAGACTTGATATGCGGCAAAGTTACTTAAAACAAACATATATATAGGCTATATTTTCAGGTTTACCTGATGGTTTCACACAAACTGATGACAGTAATTTGTCAGTGCATGAACTATTCCGAATTAATTGTCCGTTGATATCGGCATATTCACACACTCCAACTTTGAACAAATCATCTACGTTTGCCAATATTCCAGTGAGGTTAAATGCATTTTTCTTAAGTCCTATCCACATGAGATCAGATGCACTTATATTCTTAATATATTGTAAATCTTCGGCGTCAGTGAAATCAAGTAAGGATTCGTTAAGCGTTGAGCAATACGTTTTTGCGTCTTCCCAAGTCATCATGATACGGGATGCATTATAATTCACTTTGCACTTTGATTCTGAGAAAAGAGGAAAAATTGAAAATAATCAAAAGGTCTCACAGAGTTGAAGATTTGTATTCCGGGCGTTTTATTAAATTGTATATAATTTTCTAAAATTATAGGGCATGTTCTCTGGATTGTGGTTTGTATTATATTGTGTTATTTGTTGTTGATCACTATGCGGTAAAATAGGTGTCGGATACCTAACGAAATTAAGTGAACTCTAATCTTAAACTAATCCTGGCTCTAACCCTAACCATAATCCAATCTTAATCTGACACGAATCTAAATTTTATATGATCTTTTTAAATCTAAATCTTTTTTAAATGACAGTTTTATGACAGTTAATGTATATTAATAATTTCACGTTCAGAATTTCTGACATCCAAGAACTGCTGTCGCCTTTTTCGAGAATCGATAATTTCGCTTGCTTAATTAAGCTCTCTGTTTTACAACTATTATACGCCATACCGACAGGTGTATTGGTGGCGCAATCATCAAAGCACTGTTTTGTACACCTGAGATAATCGGTTCGACTTCCGCTGGGAGTGGGGACCTGTGACCACTTTTTGAAAAGGGTGAGTCAAAAGCCCGAAAGTTGCGTGTTTTCTCTGGGTATTCTATATATACTTTTTTTCTTCTTTTTTTTCTTCTTACAACCTTCCTCTGATATACATGCAATGTCATTGGTTCTCTATACTGCATGCATGCATGGCAGGATATTAGCTCATATCCTGCATGCTAGTCGTGAAAACAATTGGCGGCTCAATAATTACTGGAGTTTTGTAAACAAGAAAACAGCAAGTTATTCGCTTCTTATAGCCTTAACAGGAAAAATCACAATGGAAAAACTCCCAGCAATTGTTTACAGGTTAGCATGCAAATATATATTTATAATATTTAAACTGTAGAAAAAATATATTTTTGAAAACAATACTGCCGAAAGAGCAATGATGAATACAAGAACAAAACATAAATTTTTGAACGGAAAATTTAAGGAGTAAGGACCCTTTATAAAAGTCAATAAGCACTTGTTTTGTTTAAAAAAATAACTGTTCAGATAATTGTCCAGATCAATTAAGACCAACGTTATGAAGCCGAATCCAATAATTGCATGAAGTCGAAACTATAATAACAGTTTTATTATACAATCAAATTCCAAATACAACTGACAACAAAACCAAGACTGGCGGACCGCTAATTGACAGAAGATAAAAAGAAATGGCGATTTTAAAGAGGAAGTATAATAAACATAGCTATAGTTATTGCGCTACTTCATAACCTTTTTATTATAATTACAATTATACAGTCTTTTAATAACACAATTCTTTTTAGAACAGTAATTTGAACGATTATCTTTGTTTAAATTAAATAAAAAGGGAATCCACTATACAAGCCATTTTCAGTTGTAGCTTTTAAAAATTTTGCGGCTTTTAAATTAAAGAAGCTTATACGACTGCGCTGGAGGCTTGTGGCTACAACGTTCGGTAATCGTTTTTGGACACATGCAAGTGCGTGGAAAAAGAGAATTTCTCACTGATTCATGATGATAATGCAGTAAAAAAAATATAGGCTAAATATTGTGTTTTCTATTGCAATTTGTAGTTAGTAAACCTTTGGACCTATATTTCAGGGATTGCAGTTACATATTGCCAAATTGATAAAGGCAAGATGACACGTTAGTTCCCAACCAACTCATTATATAATCTTACCTTTGTCCGCCTTTTGGCAATCGTTCGATTTGCATTTCACCTGAGGGAATATAAAATAGATATTATATAGAAGAAAATATACACGGGAGAAAATATAAGTAGCGACTTAAGACGCGTTAAGTCACGAATACAATAAATGGTCGATTTGTTCGTGACCAATGTATAAAAGCCGCGACTAAAGTATGAACAGGGGTTCATGCTGGTCCAAAATAAGTCGCGGCTTAATAAAAAATTCGCCATTTATGCGAATGTTTTCGACTTGATAAGTCGCAACTTAATAAATCGGGATTTCTTTTCTCTCACCAAATGGCCCTATATTATTATGCCATAGAAAGTTTAAGCCAGGCAGGTTTTTTGACAACACGGATGTAACATACCATTTATAGCCGTTAATTATGGCGTCAGCTGTTCTTGCTTGTGGTGTGACGGTATACTACTACCTGAAAGGTATAGACAGAACTTCGACGTTTCGAGTAAAAGCCCTTCATTTGAAAGCTATAGTTTAATAACTTTCCGAGGAAAGGCCTTCGCCCGAAACGTCGAAATTATCGGTTAAATGTTTCAGTTAATTTTATATCCTTCACACCACAGCAGTTTGTTGTATAGTTTCCATCTAAACTGGCACACATGCACTTTTCGGAATTTTATGACTGTTAATGTATAGTTTTCGAACAAGAAATTCTGTCGCCATGCATGCATCTATATAACGGTTCGATTGACTTCCATTTGCCATTCTAGAATCGAAAATTTTGCCTGTTTAAGCTTTCTGTTTTACAATCGGTGTCGCGCAATTCGCAGAATGCTGTCCACTTCTGAGATCATCGATTTGATTTTCGCTGGGGATTCATGACTTACGCCAAAAAAGTAAGGCGAAACCTCGTAGGTCGTACATGTAAAATTAGGTTTTCTGTTGGTTGGTATTTTTTGCTTTCTCCACAGGGCATATTGCAATAACTTTTATCGAAGCTTTTCTATCTGACCAGGCATGAAAATTCTCTTTGTTTATTTCACTCTTCATGTATAGAGACGAAAATCAGTTGCAGAATTGTAGTGGAATTGGAAGATAAACTCCCCACCCCGCCACTAATCCAGCTTCACTTGAAATATACTACAATTTGTCGATAATTCAGTTAACCTTTAAAAATATTTTAAAGCGAAAAACAGCTAAATTTGTTAGAAATGCAGGATGTTTTGTCCCGCTGTGTTTTGCTTTAAATGTTTTGCAAGTTTCAAATAAGAATCATCGGCTTCAATTTGTTTATTGGCATAGTTTTCCAGATGGTTGAATGCCAGATCGAACAAAGATGCATGCATATACTGCATAATTAAAAAGAGCAAACCCATAAATTTGTCCACGCGCACACTTTAATCACGAATAATGAAAAAGACTATCCATACTTTCAATCAACATGTATAACATGTATAATTCATTACATTATAGTATTGCCTTATATGTAGTTTTAGCCAAAAGGATGGAACGGATGCAATATAGAGCTAGCGCGGTTAACAACAATATAGATTTTTTAATTAAAGAAAACATGAAATTGGATAATAAAATGCAGTTTAATTAACTACGATATAAACTATAATTGCATATTTCGTACAATTTCTTAGCTTACCATTTGAAAAGCAAAACCAAAGAACAAGCCAACACCGACAAAATAATATAAACCTTTTTCGCAAGCGAGCATCGTTTAGCTTTTAAACAGAAGACAAGCCAAGTGGTTCAACATGCACAAGGCTACAATACGTGAGTTAATAAATTAAAACCGATAAACCCTTCAATTTGCACTTGCCCCTAGCCAATGATGTAACAAGCTATAAGCAAACTTCATTTTCACGATGGCGTCGGCTTAATTATAATACATTACATATTTAAACAAAATAATACTCGGTAGTTGGCATATATACATGTAAAGTGGAAATTATTAGGGTTTAATTTCACAAAATTAAATAATATACCAAGTGGCGCAAAAACATTCTCGTGTTTGATTCAGAATAACTTAAAAACTAAAGGAGCTATTAAACTTAAACAAGGTGCGTTACATTCAATGATGTCTAACTTAAATTTTGATATACGCCATGTGCATTTTCATGTAATATTGACCGAAATAGCTGCGTTTAAACTTGAGTAAACATGTTTTGGAAGTGTCGAGAATTAGAGAAAAACGGCTGTTAAATATAAATACAGCAATAACCTCTGTCTATACGCACTACAGTCCGAAGCGCACGTTCGTTTTTCAGAGACAAATATTTATTCATCACATTAATGGCCATTTTGCCTAAGAGATTGTCGAACCAATTCGATGTCAAGTTAGCACAATACCGATTTATTGTGCAGTAACTGTTTTAAAAACAAGATTTTAAAGAATCAATATATATATATATATTTATATATATATATATATATATATATATATATATATATATATATATATATATATATATATATATATATATATATACAACAGCGAAAACACAACAGCGAAAAAAGTAACATGTTCATTGAGAATATAAATTGTGCAGAACGAAAAACAAATCAATTTGCCGTCAACAAGCACTTACTATACTACTAAAAACAAAACGATTGCAAGTTGAAAATATCGTTGAAATTATTATGTATAGCGTTGAAATTAATAGCCTTACATCGCTTCTGTATCAAATTATATATGTCATATATGACTATTGTATATATGACCATCCAATTTTTAAAGTGGAAGTCATGCAAGTCCGTTCTGCGCATCGGTTCAGCTCATAACAATGTGAGGACCTCTAATGTGAAAATTGCCCAAATTTCGAATGATTCGAATTTTTCTGAACATAAACTCTATTTCATATTCATTTAGAAGCATAGCGAACCATAATAGTGCTAGATATTCAGACAGTAGGCCTATACAGCAGTTCAAAATGTAAACAAACCGTTTGTTTACATTACGGACTTGACTTCCACTTTAAAACAATGAATAATTTTGTGAATATTGCGTGTAGAGGCAAGTATAATTTTAGTGCTCTTTATACGAAATTGAACGGTTTGATAAAAACATATAGTTTATGTGTCAGTGAAAAAAACATGTTTTGACCATAGCAATATTGACAATAACCACCACGGTGATTACTTTTTAACATTCAGTTCAAAGATTAACAAAGTCCAGGATTATACATGTAGGCTAAATTTGTATTCTTCACAATTTTAAATTCATGCTCATGGTTACTTATTTCAAATTACTAAAGTCATGTAATAATTATCCCATGCAACCGTTTGGAAGGCGAAATTTTTACGGGGAATAAATTCCTAAACTAAGGCGAAGTTTCCGGAAAGCGGGAGGGGTGAGTGGGAGCTTATCTCCTAAAGATGTGCAAATCTCCTAGGAATTTCGCTCCCCGGGGGCGAAATTGCGGGGGTGAAAAATTCCTGGTACACCGGTTCTAAATTCACTTCGAGTTTTAAAACAACATTTGGGATTTTCAGGCATACTTTGGCTGAACGCACTGTCACTATATTATATAACACATCATTAAATTCTGGTCACTAAATTGGTTGATATAGCGTATTATGATATAGCGTGATATAGCATTAGAATTCCCATTTTCCCACAGTGAAATAGTGCTTGTAGGCTACTATTGCATGCTCAATATACTTGTACTATTGCACGATAAGGTTTAAGTAAATTCAATCATTCAAAGTCCTATTTGCATCATAATCGTGGCTTATTTAACTATAATTTTCATACTGAGACCGATGAAAGATCGTCCGAAGAAAAATGCGAAGAAAAATGGTGGGTGTAAAAATACAATATTTTTACGATAATTTTTACAAGAAATGACACAGTGCCTTTTTTAAGGAATTTTCACTGGGGGGGGGGGG